ACTCAATTATTGACTCATTCCCTCACTCACTCACTCCCTCCCTCCCTCACTCACTCACTCCCTCACTCCCTCACTCACTCCCTCACTCACTCATTCACTCACTCACTCACTCACTCATTCACTCACTCATTCACTCACTCATTCACTCATTCACTCACTCACTCACTCACTCACTCATTCACTCACTCACTCACTCACTCACTCATTCTTGGCTGATGAACACCTCCCGCGTGCCAGGCCCCTCCAGGTGCTGGACACAGGCAGGAGGCCTGGATGCCGGGGACACATATGTTGTGGATGAGGCCGCCACAGGTCAGATCATCAAGCACAGAACTCACAGCTGTGGTGAGGGGCCTCCAGCTGGGGTGCCTGGTGTGTGTAGGGGTGGGGGGTGGGGCAGGGGCTGGGTGTGCAGGGCTGGCAGCCAGAGGAAGCAGGAGCGGGTCTCGCCTGAAGCCCGTCCTGAGGCCGAGCGCGGGCAGAGAGGACAGGGGAGCAGGCAGCTGGCACCTCCTGGTTCTCCAGTGTCTGTCCTGCAGGGAGCGCAGCCACCAGTGTAACACCTAGTCCACCAGGGTCACCAGCTGTCCTCGGGGGCCAGAAAAGACCCTCCCACCAAATCCTCCCACAGATGAGGAACCTGAGGTCCAGGGAGGGGCAACCAGGTCTGAGGTCACGGCCAGTCGACAGAAGGGAGCCAGAGCCCACGGGGAGGGCACTGCAGGCCCCACCCGCAGCATCCACGGGGCCTCCCTCGCTGAGAAGCCCCACGGCAAACGGGAGACTAGGCTGCCCCCGCCCTTCCCGGGCCCCTTCTCCAGGTTGTCTGAGTGGGAAGGAGGAGGAGTAATGGTATTTGCTAAACTCATTTCAAGGATCAAGAATTTCCAGATGTTTCCCTGTTCCCGCCCCTCCCCACCTGGCCCCTGTGCCTTCCTCATGACCATCCCTCTGGCGGGGAGGGGGTCCCCGGGGGCCCTGGGTGTGGCTGAAGGTCTGGCTGATGCTGGGAGCCTGGGATTTCTGGAAAACCAGAGCGATTTTCCAGGAGGAGGAATGGGGAGGGGATGCGGGGGAGGCTCCGGGGGCCTAGCACAGCCAGCCCACCCACATGACTACTAAGCTTAGCAACTCGATCGATGAGCCAATGAATCGATGACAGCGCCCAATATTGGCTGAATACTGTCTGCATTATCACCTGTTGGAGCAAAATTCCAGCAACCTGCCAAGTGGGAATTACACCCCCACCCCCCAACTTACAGGAGACGGAGGCACCATGCCATGCGGAAAGGTGCCCCAGGTCACCCCAAAGCTGGTGGCAAAACAGAGGTTTGCACCCTGGCCAGTCTGTGTGAATTCTACACTGGTCTAATAGGAGTGTCTGGAGGGGAGGGGGAGCGGGAGGGGAGGGGGCGGAAGTGGGGAGAGAGCAAGCTATTCCCCTGAATACTTGAAGCCAATCATTCTGTCCACCTGGCTGGCACAGGCTGGGGCGCACCTGGGCACCCCTGTGGC